AGAACTCGTCAAAACCGGGTAAGAAGCGTGGGCGGGCGGGTGGGCCCTTCGCCGTTCCCGGAAGTTACTTACTTCCGGGTTTGCTGACCAGTCGGTTTGCAGGGACCGCCGCGAACCGGTTGAAACCCACCCCTGTCACATACACAAATACACAGTTAATTACACACAAAGGCAGATATTACCTTCAAAGACAGCCTTATTAGATAAGCCTAAGGCTGGTACAGTAGCCCCTTCTGGAAGATCCACCATTTGCTATGAAGAAGAAAATATTATTCAAGATTATCCGAATCTGCTCATTTCTTTCCGTGAGTCACAAATCTAAAATGTGTATGATACTAAGGAATTCCTAGAAAAATCTCAACTTAATTTAAAATCTTTCCTTTGGTTTTAATTTTCTAGGTCACTCCGAAGTATTATTTATTTTTAATTTTGGGAGGGAGGGATGTATATTTGGCTTGACAAAGTATTATTGAGTTCATACATCATGCTAACTGTTCAACCACGTTCAATGAATAAAATACAATTATCTATATCCCATATTAGGTAATAAGTAATAAAATCATGTTTTTAAGTCACAAATACAAAACATCTTCAGAAGTAACAATTATACCATACAGCACAGATTATGACCATTTTCTAAGAATTTTGGATTGTAACTAAGCAGATGTTCAAATTTAAAATTATATTCACAACTCCACAAAAAACAAGTTTAATACTACGTACTAACTCAAACTCAATCGTCAGCATCACTAGTGTTCGGGAAACCATAGTTCGCAGACTAATGTCCACAAAATAGACACATCAAGAAACTGACTCTACAGGAAGACTAGAACTAGGATATACTTCTAGAGCATAGAGTAAGACCAGAATATAATTCTAGTCCTTCTTGTGAAGTTAGTTTCTTGATGAGGTCTATTTCACAAAGACTAGCAATGCCATTAATTCTCTCCAGCCCATTTTTGGTCTCCTGTTAAAATTAAAAGTGGGAAAGAGTCAAAGGCCTCTACGAGCTACTTCTTTGCTTCCTTATCTTTAAACTCTTATCTCCAAGTCCCCCCCCCCCCAAATTACCTAAAACTGTAGTTTTCAGCCTGATTTTGTTCCACTTTTTGTCATTCTGGGAAATTTTAGTTTTTAGGAGTGAGAACTTGGAGGCAAACTATTTTTACAAATGGACAATAACCCTTCAATCAGACCTGAATTGTTCACCGAAAAGGCAAAACAGTGGAGGTACCCCACTCCCCTGGCCGTTCCCCCCAAAATGCAATCAGGAAAATGTTAATCCTATCCTCCCCAATTTTATTATAACATTCTCAAATAGCCTACAGAAGGTCAGAAGGCTTCCTTATAGGCCCTGACCATTCAAACCTCAACCTGCCCTTGAAGTAAAGAATATCTGAGTTCGTTCTACATTTCTGCAATATGTTTTAAAATGTGCTCAAATTCAAAGGAGGAGATGCAAACATCAAAAGTAGCAAATAGTATTTTTAATTCTTTTAAAGCAACTGAATACATAACTTACACCGGAATATAATTTCTCCAGAGATGTTCCAGAAATACTGCTGAAGTTCTCAATGAAATTTCTAGGTGCGGTAAACACGCGAAGCACTTTCTCATCTGCTCCAGATATAAACTGAAATCGTGCTGTCAATGCTATACACTGCATATCGTACCCATGGACTTGGGGTCTCGCTATTTCATGCCATGACACCTAGTAAAAAGGACCATCGCATTTATACAAGCACCAATCTTAGAATCTATAGGAAAATTTAACATTTTAAGTTCTATCAATCTATGATCGATTTTAGAATTCCAGTTTGCTGAAAAAAATACATTCCGTTCATTTCCCACAAAAATGCATTCTCCCCTCTATTCAGATCTCATTGGAAATGCCAAGAATTTTCTTTCTTTAACAAATAATTGACAAACAGTGAGAATTTGTCCAATATCTAACAGAAAAGGACCAAAATCCTATCCTGGTTCAAAATACAATTTTGTGCCCCAGTTTATCCTCCCTCTGAATTTTATTTTAACTATCTTTATTCCTCACTCGAAAAAGATGAGCAACACTATGCTGCATGTATGATATAATTAAGTATAATTATAGGTCTTATTTTTAAACAACTAATTTTAATATAAACTTCCAAATGTTTATACTCATGTGATGTCATAATACCACAGTAGCTAACTACTAAACAATAAAAATAAGATACACATAATTTTTTAGGAGAGTTTAAGAAATGTTAAGAAGAGCTATTGTTCAGATCACATATTCTGTTGGGAAAAGATATTTGTTTTAAAACTTGGTTGTAAAAAATCCAAACAGCTTTCAGAATTTTAAAACGTGTTTATCTGTTTGCTGCCATTCAGGGGTCATCCAGAGTTTTGCAGTTCAGATATGCTGGCTCTAATCCATACACAGGAGTTGTACCCAAAACAAGAACATTGCGGCTAGTAAGTTTGGAATAATAACATCTTGGTGGTTCTGGGTTTTGGCACAGCCCAATTCGATAGGATTCTTATGGAACAAGTCGGGCAAGCTTAGAGTACCTCTCCCATCTTCCTCTGCGGGGTCCATGCATCAGTTTGGCCACCAAACTTCCTGGCATTTCCTTTTGCTGAGCATCCTTTAATCCTGTTTTGCTTCCTACCAATATTCAATTCAAGTCCAACATATCTCAACAATCCACCCACTCCTCCTCTTATATCAATCTTAGCTATAAATCTAAGCAGAACTGGAAAAGAAAGACCCTGCAATGATCAGAGGAGCAAATCTGATATATTGTATTTGAACTAGTGAACTACTCATAATACTTTATGGCAGGGGTGGGTTTCTCGCCCCGTTCCAACCGGTTTGGTTGGAACGGGGCCGGTGGCGTCCTCGTGCACACGTGCGGCGCACGCATGCGTACTAGCGTCTGTGCGATGCTCCAGCTGCTCCTGGAGGATCGCGCAGGCGCTGTATGC